ATTTATGTTCAAAATTAAATAAAAAATGATATATTGACAACTATGCAACATAAAAATATTATAATATAACTCACACGTTTAACACAAATTCAAACACTAATATAATAATATAATTTTTATGTCATGTAATAGTTAACGTGGTATTTTTTATTTAATTTTAAACAAAAATTAACTTTAAAAATAAATTAAAAAAATTTTGAATCATGAAGGGTCAAAATAGAAAGGAAAAAATAATAATAAGAATTAAAGTAAAAACAAAGATGACCAGACATAAAAATGACCAGACATAAAAATGAGACAAAAGTGTAATTTACCCATAAAAAGTCATAATACATATCAGTTCTTAGCTCCTTCGAGATAAGACTGGTTTGATTGCAATAAAATTCTTTTTTCACAACTCGGTTTATAATTGGTGCCGACGGTTTGAGGAGGATCCCTTTTCGTCTAAACTTTGAACTATTCAGGTTAATAGGACTCGTTACAAGTTTTATTTTAATAATTTGAATGGTTTATTTTGTTAAGTATTTTATATAATTTATTTATAAAAAAATTAAATTAATTTGATAATTGTAATTTGTTCAATTTATTATGTTTGACACTAAATGTATGGTTTCTTTTTAGAAACACAATTATTGTCTATTTTTTAATGAAAAATTAAATAAGTTACAGTTATCGGACTGATCCAATTTTTTTGGGAACCAAATACACAAAGTGTTTTCCGAAATGAACGGTTCGAATCATTGAAACAAAACCCGTAATGAGCCCCATGGACACAAACAACACTCTTCAGTACAGATCCCCGTGGTGGGTCTCATGGACCCAAACAACACCCTCCAGTCCAAAATCTAGAGGGTCCTATTTGGGTCTATGGGACTCGCTACGGGCCCCATTTTAATAATCCGAATAGTTCATTTTGTCGGACATTTCGTGTATTTCGTCCACAAAAAAAATTAAGTCGATCCGATAATTGTAATTTGTTTAATTTATTATATTTGTTACTAAAAAAATGTATTGTTTATTTTTAAAAATACAATTATTATCTATTTTTTTAGTGAAAAAATGAACAAGTTATAATTATCGAATCGACCTAATTTTTTTTTTTTTTGTAGACGAAATACAGATTTTAGATTGAAAGGTGTTGTTTGGGTCCATGGAGCCCACTACGGGTCCCGTTTTGATAATCCAAACCATTCATTTTGCTGGGCACTTTGTATATTTCGTCCACAAAAAAAATTAAATCGATCAAATAACTGTAATTTGTTCAATTTATTATGTTTGTTACTAAAAAAGTATATGGTTTATTTTTCAAAACACAATTATTTTCTATTTTTTAGTGAAAAATTAAACAAGTTATAATTATCGGATCGATTTAATTTTTTGTGTGAACGAAATATACAAATTATCCAACAAAAAGATACAATTTAAATTATCGAAATAAGATCCGTAATAGGCCCTATAGATCAAAGCAGTATCCTCTAACCCAAAACCTGGACAGGAGGAAATCCTCCAAGAAAGATTATTTTTCATAGTTGATTACATGAAAAATTTCTTAACCGTGTTACCTAATTCTAATTAGGTACATATGGCTCAATATCAATACCGACCCGTGTCCTAATCCTAACAATAACATTAGGGGTGAGTAGCGGATATATCGATACGTCAAAATCGACCGAACCGAACCGATCCGCTGCATTTTGGATGGATGCGTGATGACGAACGGACGGTTGCGGATTGATTTTCTCCAATCCGCCAATTTGGCAGACGAATGGCAGATTTGAGATTTCTTTGGCCGCAACCGAACCGCCAAACCGCCAAATCGCGAGCACCCCTAGTAATTTATAAGACTTTGTGATTTCAATTTATTTAAATATTATGTTTGTACTTTCAATTGAAAAATAGTTTAAATATTCTGTTGAAAAAAAATTTTCAACTTGAATATATTTTTTGAATTGAAAAAAATAAAAGTATTATTTATCTATATTTTTTGGTTTTTAAATCTAATTCTAAAAATAATAAATAGAAAATATGATATATGCTGGTTGGTTTTTGTTTTCAAAAACATATATAGACGTAACAATACAGAGACATACAATCTCTACTATTGTTCTGTTCATGGTTTTGGTGGTTCGAATTGTTATTATATTTTAAGAATTACAGATTGTAATTATTTATGTGGATGAATCATACTGTGATTGTAATATGTAGATGAGGCATGCAGTGATCGTGATATTCTAAAGTTTTAAACTTTCTTTCTTTAGATAAGGCATACAGTGATTGTAATACTTTTTTAAGTCATTGACTGTAATACTTTTTTTCTTTTTTTTTTCTTTTTTTTTTTTTGAGGAAGTGCACAAGTTAAATTATGTTAAAAATTTATAAAATTTTAAACCGTCAAACCGATTCATATCCATCTGCCAAACCGCCAATCCGCTCAATCCACATCCGCCGGATTGGCGGACGGATGCGGATTGATTTTCTCCAATCCGCTAATCTAGCGGACGGATGACGGATTAAAGGTTCTGTGGTCGCAACCGACCCACGCCCACCCCTAAATAACATAGTACAGTTATTTCCTCATCAACTACCTCCTTAAATGCATATAGCAGTCTGTTGACATCTTAAGGGGCAAGAACACAACCTGTTGCATTCGAGTTGGGTGAGCAGTCAACAGCTTACTAGGTGGAAAGCCAATACACGTTCATGGTATATGTTTCATATTATGTGCCATTTTTGTAATTTTTGAAGTTATATAATAATTGTGAATTTGCATATATTTTCCATTTTATAGTTTGTCCTAAATCAGTATGCATGACCTTAAATGTTTTCGCTTTTTTATATCTTTGCTTCAAATCCTATCTACTATTTTTAAAACAATTCTTAGGTTGTTTTTGAATATCATATAATATTATTTAGGTGACGTTTTTTTTCAAAAAAAAAAAATTACAAAATATATTAGATGGATCATTTATTGTTTTTTAACTAATTAAAATAAAGGGTAAATTACACTGACACCTCTTGAGATTTGATCTAATTACATTTCACTACTGACATTTTGAAAATTACATTCTTACCCCTATAGGTAATAGTCTCATTTCACAAACCCGCTACTTATGTAAAAGGCAACAACTCCTAATAGAAAAACAAAAGAAATTACATTGAAAAAAAAAAAGTAAAGGAAAAAAAAATATACGGAAAAAGTAAAGCAAATTAAGAAAAGAAAGAGTGCATGAGTTCAGTATCTTCATTATGTTTAAATAATTATAGTGATAGAGGGTTAGTGTAATTTCCCAAACGGCAAGGGATAATATGTATTAAATCTAAACCTCAGAAGTGTAGGAGTAATTTACCCATTAATAAATGAACAATGCTATGTACATAAAACTCATGCATGGAAATATCTCAAGAAAGATCATTGTATGGTTCTGTAACAACTCCGATTTGTGATTAGCTAATAAACCTTACTTAAGAATGTTTAATAAGTAATTATGATGGAAACATAATTGTGTGTTATATGTGTTATATGTCGTAGAAATATCTGTCTGTAATTCTGTTTTATTATGCGAATTGAAAAGCCTTATCGGGATCCGAACGCGAAATTAACTCCGTTTATGTGTTATTTAGAATTTTATGTAATTTTAATTGGATTTCGATTCAGAATCAAATAATTAGAATAAAATGATTATTAAAGTATACTAGCTTAGCTCCAATCTTATTTAATTAGCTTTAAGTTAATCTAACCTATAAATGTGTGAAAGCAAGCACACCACCTGTTGCATTCGCGTTGGGTGAGCAGTCAACAGCTTACTTGGTGGAAAGCCAATACACTTTCATGGTATGTGTTTCATATTATGTGCCATTTTTGTAATTTTTTAAGTTATATAATAATTATGAATTTGCATATATTTTCCATTTTATAGTTTGTCCTAAATCAGTATGCATGACCTTAAATGTTTCCGCTTTTTTATACCTTTGCTTCAAATCCTATCTACTATTTTTAAAACAATTCTTAGGTAGTTTTTGAATATCATATAATATTATTTAGGTGACGTTTTTTTTTCAAAAAAAAAAAAATTACAAAATATATTAGATGGGTCATTCATTGTTTTTTAACTAATTAAAATAAAGGGTAAATTACGCTAACACCCCTTGAGATTTGATCTAATTACATTTCACTACTAACATTTTAAAAATTACATTCTTACCCCTATGATTAATAGTCTCATTTCACAGACCCGCTACTTATATAAAAGGCAACAACTCCTAATAGAAAAACAAAAGAAATTACATTGAAAAAAAAAAGTAAAGGAAAAAAAAATATACGGAGAAAGTAAAGCAAATTAAAAAAAGAAAGAGTGCATGAGTTCAGTATTTTCATTATGTTTAAATAATTATAGTGATAGAGGGTTAGTGTAATTTCCCAAACGACAAGGGATAATATGTATTAAATCTAAACCTCAGAGGTGTAAGAGTAATTTACCCATTAATAAATGAACAATGCTATGTACATAAAACTCATGCATGGAAATATCTCAAGAAAGATCATTGTATGGTTCTGTAACAACTCCGATCTGTGATTAGCTAATAAACCTTACTTAAGAATGCTTAATAAGTAATTATGATGGAAACATAATTGTGTGTTATATGTGTTATATGTTGTTGAATTTGTCGATCGTAGAAATATCTGTCTGTATTTCTGTTTCATTATGCGAATTGAAAAGCCTTATCGGGATCCGAACGCGAAATTGACTCCGTGTGTTATTTAGAATTTTATGGTAATTTTAATTGGATTTCGATTCAGAATCAAATAATTAGAATAAAATGATTATTAAAGTAAACTAGCTTAGCTCCAATCTTATTTAATTAGCTTAAGTTAATCTAACCTATAAATATGTGAAAGCAAGCTTAGCAAAACATTTCCTATCATCTTCTTGAGCTCAAATATATATATATATATAATAAGGGAGGAAGATTTTATTAGCTTAGCAAATAATGTTTGATACATTTTATTTCAACGGCTGAGATGACTTGTTTTTAAATCATTAAGGGCTAAAGATACTTTGTGATATTTTCAACATCCAGCCCAAAACAATCCTCTCTCTTTCCTGCACCCAAACATTATTTGCACACTTTCTCTCTCTCCAACTTCTTAGGTCTCACTCACTCTCTCTCTCTCTCTCTCCTCAGAGACCTCTCCCTCTTCTCCACTGTCACTTCGCTTCCATCGTTGCGTCACCTCCGATCTCCACCAACAGCCACTCTTCTCCCTCCCAGATCTCAGATCTCATATCGTCCTCCACCGTCGAGAGTTTGATGAGTTGGCCACCATGTCTTCCCAAAGCAAATGCAGAGAGATGGTAAAACTGTAAGCCTCAAATTTTAATTTGGTGTAAACTATTTTAATTTGTTGTGGTTGTGATTTCTGAAATGGGTTTGATAGGTTTGATGGCTTTTGATGGGTTTAATCCGCAGAAATCTGTAGAAATTCATATACTAGAGTTTACTCTCTCTACAGATTTGATGGGTTTTGATTTCCGGCTTTGGCACTTTCTGCTCATCTCCGTGAGTTTACTCTCTCTGTCTCTCTAGCATATACTAGATTTCATATATATTCAAATAAATGTATATAAATATATAAATATAGATATTCTCCATGAAATGAGTTTGTGAGCAGAGACCACCATCTACTCTTGACATCCAACAAATGGTATGTTTTTTCTCTGTCTCTCTCTTATATTGGTTTTTATGAGTATCTACTCTGGTTTATGTTTATATGGGTTTCTATGAAAAGCCATGAAATTATTGAATTTTACTTTAGTGTAAACTATTTTAATTTGTTGTGCTTGGAGTGGTTGTGAAAGGTTATCAAATAAAGAACGGTAAATAAATCTCTCTTTTCCCTCTATATGGATGTGTCTCTGTTACACATTTTTTTGATATATAGCAGTTTCCTAGGTGGATGCCACATCTATCTGGGTGCAAAAAATATTTGTTACATAAATTAAAAAATAGATAGGGTCTGTGGGTGTAGGATGAGGGGAAGTAGAGATAAAGGGAGGCAAAAAGTGAAATGGTGGGAGACAAATTGCTTCTTCAAATGGTTTATAATTGTTAAGATCATGGTAATTTTGTTCCGTTGCAGGCCTTGCATCACCCTTTCACTGCCTCAAACCCTGAAGATATGAAGGATCTGTCCTCTGCCTGTGCCTTCACTTATGACATGGTTTACAACGGAGTTGAGGTATATAAATATGTACTTTATTCTCTGTTAGTTGCAAAATTGATCTTTTGCCAATACTTAACATGTGAAATTCAAAGGTGCAATACTTAATTGCTGTGGTGCTATCAGATTGGTGGAGGAAGCTTGAGAATTTATAAGCATGAGATTCAAGAAAATGTTTTGGAATTTGTTGGCATTTCTCCTAAATAGGTGAGGAGACACTTAACGAATACTGGTTGGGTTGCTCAATTATTAATTACTAGGGTTGTGTTTTATCTCTTACGTTGTAAATTATTTTTATATTCCCATCTAATGCAATATGTAAGTACCAAATTGAAGAAAGTATCCTCTTGTACGTAGATCTTTTGAATTACCTGATATTAATATTATCATGGTTTTCATACTTCTATGGGCCAAAATTTTCATTGTATTACTAACAATCATCAATATATTTTCATGCATGGACCAATTCTTCAAGATATTAGATCACTGTGGTGTGCACACTACATTGAATTGAAACACATGTGATGCTGGCACTTTGGAAAATAGTTCCTGGCAAGTTTTAGGTAGATCACTGTTGTTTGCACACTATTTTCTGATTTTTATTTTCTTTTTAGTTAAAATATTTTTGAAATGATAGATACAACCACATATATTTACCATTTAAAGGTGAGTTCCAATTGGACACCACTTGGAACTTTTGAATTTCCTTAGATTAATGTGTTAATACTTATTGCCCCCAAGGAAAGGAATAGTCGGATGTTAAATCTAGAAACTATTGACCCAAATGTAAAATGGGCTTTGTTTTGTCTATAGGCTGAAGCAAAATTTGGCTATCTTTTGGAGGCTTTAGACATGGGTGCTCCTCCACATGGTATGAACGGCTGGCTTATATCTAACATAACAACAAATTACTATCATTTTGGGATAATTTATTCACTGTTGGCCTGGAAGTAAATGTCATGCATAATTTAAACCTATATTGGTTAGGTTGAATCATTGTTCTGCACTATTGATGAACACAAGGATTTTTTAATGCTAGAATGTCCAACTACTGCTCATCTGTCTATATTTCTGAGTTCTCTTAAACATTATTTGGACCATGGCCTCAGTCCAACAGATAGTTATCTAATATTGGAATCGTCTAGACTGGAATTAAGACTACTCATCTAATCATCTGTCTTTTTTTTTTTTTTACTTTCTATTTTTCTGTTTCTCTGTGATTGGTTTATAATTAAGCTTTAGTAAGAGAGAAGTGTAATATGAAGAGTCTGAGAGCTTAGAAAAGTGAAATGTGTGTTATAACTAACTAATACTGTAATCTCACTGAAACTTAAGTGTAATATGTTCATGAGTTTTCTAATCATACATTTTACTTAACTAACTAATACATTTTTCCTGCTAAACTTTGGGCTTTGATACACTTCAATTTTGCACAATGGGGGTGAACGGCAGTGTATGATTTTTCTTTCCATGCCTTTTCTTTTTAAACATTAGAGATGGTTTGTTAATATTGCAATCACAGAGATTATATTATTTTCTAATTTTAGCCTAAGTTCAAATGAGACCAACCTCTTCAATTAGAACAAGAAAGATTGATAACTTTAAGAATAATAGTGATGCTATAAGAAAGGAACAATTTTCTCCAAAATTATTTTGTGAATAAATTTTCCATGTACTACATAAAAGATTAGATAGGGGAAGATTAAACTCAATATAATTTCCTCCGTGCCTTTAGACACGAGCATACACTAGAAAATGTTGGTTTTCAAATCCACTGCAAATGTTGGTTTTCAAACCCACTAGAAAGTGGGTTTAAATTTTTTTTTATTTTTTTATTTTTTTTCAAATCCACTCTTTTTGGAAAATGTTGGTAGAAAATGTTGGTTTTTTTTTTTTTTTTGGGTAAATTTAAACTCAAAATTTAAATGGAGTTTAAATTGAGCTCTGTTAAAAAAAATGGTGAATTTAAATTTGTATGAAAATTGAGTTTAAATTGAGTTTGAGTTACGTTTATGTAGAAAATGTTTTTTTTTTTTTTGTGTGTGTGTAGATAAATTTGAACTCAAAATTTAAATTAGGTTCAAATTGGGTTATCTTAAAAAAATATCATAAAAGTGAATTTTGAGAAAGAGAAGAAATAATGGGAGTAGTGTGATTTGTTCAAAAGCTGAAAACAAGAGTTTTTTTATTAATAGAATTTTGACTTCAAATTCTTATAATAAATTATATTTTTCAATTTTTACTTTAATTTTATTGGGGTCTATTTATGTTTGGGTACTTTTACAAAATTCATTTCAAAGTCAATAAATTTGATAAATTACATTTTAAATCAATACTTTTAAATTTAATTATATTTTAATCTTGTAATTAATTTAGATACGGATATACATTTTTAAAACTCCAAACCAACCCTGGGGACTTGCTTGGTTAGAATCTATTACCAGATAGATTAATAGTTTGAAGGTGTTAAAATCTGAAGGTGTTAGAATCTATTACCAGATAAATCAGTAGTTTCAAGGTGTTAAAATCTAAAGGTGCTAGAATCTATTAACAGATAAATTATGGTCGTTTGCCAAGGATAATTAAACTTTTTGAGCACTTTCAAGTTGTTGTAAGCTTTAAATTATTTCATCAAAACGATGACCATGTAGGCGGAATGTGATTGGTTGGATGGAAAAAGCAAGCAGGAAAAGCGATAGAGAATGAAGTCTAAAATAATAAATAAAATAAAATAAAATAAAAATGAAAATAAAAAGTGTACGGGGAGCAAATATTCCGACGTGCCCGTATTCCTTTCTTCCAAGTTCCGTCGATATCCGATCACCTGCGAGCAAATAACGGTGAGCTGCCTGGCGGTGTGTGGCCGGAAACACCCTCCGACGGTCAAATTAGCACACACCTTAGAGGGAATAGAGAGAAGGGAGAGAGTGTTTTTGTGTAAGAAATCCTTACAGATGTGTTCGTGTGTCCCGTATGGGGGGGCGCAGACATGCTTACATACCTTCTGTGCCCCATATACACTCCCTGTCATCTCCTGACACGTGGCTCTGCTATCCCATCTGTCAGCATAAACCATGCCGTTCATCACCTGCTCTCAACTGCCAGCCAGCATAGCTGGAGCTCGGCAGCCGAGCTGCCCTACCTCGGTCATACCATGCTTCATACCTTAAGCGCCTGGCCGGATAACCGAATGAAGGACCGGGCTAGGCGGCATCTCGGCAAAGCTTAGCCCGGGCTCCTCCTTTGGTCGGCCTCCTCGCCGGTCAATCAATTACCTCGGCTGACCGCGCCTTTCCGAGCGCCGGCCTCTCGGTCTGTCTGGTCTCGACAATCCTCGGACCGAGCATCCCGGTCTGCCCGGTCACTTCCTGGCCGAGCACCTTCTGCACGGTCCGGGGCAGCACACAGTCCAAACTCTGCCCGGCCCAAGTTCTGGTAGCCCATCTCCAGGTGAACAGTCGATCATTTCGGCCCAATGCTCTGCTGGGCCCTCAACTCGTTCGGTCTACACCTCGGCCCAGCACCGGAGCATAAATCACCCTCTCAAAAAGAAAGAGCTTTGGGTGACCCACCACCAACCAGGAAGACGTCAGAAAATTTCACGACTTTTGGGAAATCAAAATATTGTATTTATTATTATTTTTATTTTTAAAATCTTAATTTATTTAGGTTTTATTGTTTGTTGGACAAACTACTAAATTGAAATTCTTAAACAACATAATAATTATTTATTTGGTAGTATTATATATATCAATGGGTATAAACAACAGAATAATTATTTGTTTACCGGCAATGGGAGTATTTCGATTCTTCTCTATGAGCCGCATTATCGGAGTTTTGGGTTATTTCGTTATTATTTTATTTGAGTTTTATAAAAATTATGATGCAAGTAAAATTGTTATAATTTTTTAAAAAGAATAGTATTTCTTTATATTTTTTCAATATTTTTGTCAAAAAAATTGCAGACTTCATAATAAATTTTAATATGATACGTATGAATTATAATTATATTTTTATCACAAAATTATTTATACCGTACCTTCAGATACGGACATACGTTAGTTAATATATAAGTTATAAATAAAAACTAGAGAAAGAGAATATTTATATATATATATATATATATATAGAGAGAGAGAGAGAGAGGGGTAGGTTAAATTCAAGCTTGAGGAGAATTAGAGGAAGTTGAAGAATTTGACTTGGAAACTCAATCAATTAAACATCTAGAATACAATTGAGCACCTAAGGTAAGAATTTAAGCCTTTAGTCTTGTAATTGAGTTGGTTAATGCATGAATTCAAGAGAGTTAAGCTAGGAAATGTAAGAATTAAGCTAATGAAGTAGGAAAGAAGATCATAACATACATGCATGCATAATTTATGGATTTTGAGTTTTGATTTCAACAAATTCTTACAAGCAAGAGCTTATTTTTGTTATATTATGAGAGCTCATTGTGGTTTTGTACTTAAACATTCCATTTGTGCATGTTTTGGAAGCTAAAATTTCAAGTCATTACTTGCATGTTATGTTTTCAAAATGTCAAGTTTGCTTTTAAATAATTCACTTGTTTTTTGGCTTGATTTTGGCGAAACGGTTTTCAATTCATGAAGTCCTATGAGTTTACAAATGTTTTATCAAGTTTTGGCCCAAAAGGATGCGTTTTGGTGCTTTGAAATCAAGTTTTGAAGCTGGGAGTGCAATCTGGAAATTTCAAAATTCGTAGGCTTCACTCGAGCGATGGAGTTTGCGCTCGAGCGAAGAATACGAGCTCCCAGTAGTTTTGCAGAGTTTGGAGGTTGGCTCGAGCGAAACAAGTTGCGCTTGAGCGACCACCCTTATTTTTGAATCTTAGCTCGAGTGTATGAAGTTGAGCTCGAGCTTAAAATTCGAGCTCCTAGAAATTTTGCAGACAATTACACTATGGCTCGAGCGACAAAGTGTGCGCTTGAGCGAACCTACATTTATTCAGTCTTTGGCTCGAGCGACCGTCGGACATAAAAAATCAAGCAACCAGTACTATTGCAGAGTTTTACAGACCGCTCGAGTGACCAAAGTTACACTCGAGCAAATACCTTGTTTTCAGCAAATTTGACGCAGTGTTTCAAATTGCATTTTGGCATCCTCATTGCATCTTAAGCTTTCTTAAGCCTGAATTAAAACATAATAATGAGGATAAGGATTAGAAACACACAAGATAGAAAAGAAATGAGTTAAGTATTTTTCGAGCGTGTGTTTCAATGTGTACCCGTTAGGTGTTTGTGTAGGTCATATGTTGTTGCCCGCCTGATCAATCTGTTCTGTTCATGTGACATGTTCTGCTACTAGAGCTATCTGTGAGTAACAACTCTGTAAAGTTATGTTTGATTATAAGTATTTTCTAACTGTAAATGAAAGTATAAAACATGCAGCCGATAAAATGTTTAGATCATACCTTTTTGATGATAGAACCTCATGGATAAATCACGTGCTTCCAGGGTCTGATAAACCAACCCAGCAGTGAAGTGATATCACAGATTGAATATCACCCACACAAATCACAGTGCAAATGACTTGATCGTTGTTTTGGGAAGAGAGTCAGTATATGGGTAAAAATCAGATCATACGTTGTTTCTCTCATAATCACCCATAACCCATATACCAGATATATAATATGTTATTATTATCTATCCATATCAGTAATGGAGATAATATCTGTATCCTGAGTGGTTATCCTAAATAGGTTTGAATTCAATTTCAAAACCTATTTGGATAAGATTCAAATTTAAATTCAAATGGTCATGCCACATGGGCGCCCATTACTAACATCTCCCACTCACACATGAGTTGGCATGACACTGCCACATCTCTATCTCAATCTCCCAAAAATAAACAATCTCATACTAGCCACTGCACCGTGCGACTGCTGAGAACACCTGCATGTGGGAGCTCTATACTAGAAACTCAAAATGAGCCAGCATAGAGACATCAACCCAAAAAGAATAGAAATAGTGTCTCATATACCCCAGACCCATCTAATTACACCGGTCCAAAAAACATCTCTAATCCCTCAAAAAGGGCATGTTTGACCCTCTCAATTCTTGCAATATATCCACACTCAATTCGTTTTCATACAGAGCGATGTGAGTTGCCGGCAGTGAATATACAACGGTGGTGTAATACTAGATGATCTTCCCTTTGCCCTCATGCCATTTAGTTTAGGATTGACCGCTTTCCCAGTGATGTCCCTTAAGGCCGAATCATACATGACCGCAGGCAACATACCAAAGTAGCAGAACATCAACCCCTTACCTTATGACATAGTCAAAAGTCACAAAAGGGTACATAAATGAAAGTCATATCAATAATGA